GTTTATATCAGACTCAATGAATTTATTTATATATATATATATATATATATATATATATATATATATAAAATGAAATAAGAATAAATATAAATTCAAGCATTCATAACACTAATTTAAAAATAGGATCAATACAATAGTAGAGCAATATTCTTTATTATAGGATATTACATTAGAACATGTGTAAAATTGCTACATCAATGTACTCATGTTTCAATGCATCTCATTGCATCAGGCAGTAGTAAATGAGGATTATTACAACTTTTAAAAATTATTAAAAATTGTAATAATCTTCATTTACTACCTGATGAGATGCATTGAAACATGAGTGTATTGATGTAGCGGTTTTACACATGTTCTAATGTAATATCCTATAATAAAGTGTATATATATATATATATATATATGTATATATATATATGAATGAATGAGTTTCTGTTATTCTAGTTTGGGAATACTTTGTGACTATATTAAGTCATCCCAAAGAGAATTTGGAAACTTACAGACAGACAAATGAGTTTCCCCTTTTAGTTTTAATCCTTTCAGTCTCCTATATTTAACACTTCATATTTATTTAATAAAGTAATTTTTTTTCATGCTTTATGTCTTACAAAATCTGTGTCATTTTTAATAAAATAATTAATTATTTCAATAACTGTTTTTTTGTTTTTGTTCATTTTTGTTTTCTTCATTACTGTGAGCAACTTTATATTTTACAAATTTCCTTAATGCCACAAGCATTCCAGTACAGACCACAAAACTTGACTTGTAGCCATCGATCTAATGATAAACTACATTGATACAGATATTTAAAAAAGATACTTTTTACAAATTTTACACAGAACAAACTTATTTTTATTACTAAATTTCATTTACAAACTTATTTCAATTCAAGATGCAATAAAATTTAACAAAGAAGTCAGAAAATCAGAAAACTGAAAATGCAAGTGATAGCACTACTTAAATAGACTGGTCCAATCGTAAAAACATAGGGAAATCTTTTTTGGAGGATAACTTTTGTATAGTAGCATTCTTAAGCCATCCTTAGACCGCAACACTGGTCAGAATAGAAAAATATTGATTTGTTATAGATTTAGTAGGCAGGACCTGTTTTTATAAGATCAATACAATGTCAAATTGATCCTTGACAGTTATTGGCTAGATCATAAGGCTATTATTTACAAATGCCACATTTGAAAATATGCTAACGTCATTGGCATCTGCAGATTTTAAAAATTTTCTGAATTTATGGAGGCATGGGGCTTCGGGGTTAAAATGAGCAGTTGATTTACCCACGCCAAGAAGATTAATGAAGGATGATAATGACGAGGAAACACATGCATAATTCTTTATGAAACTTAGAATATTTTTATATTAATAGGAATATGAAAATATTTTTATAAAAATATTAAAATGTAGTAATATTTTTATCCATTGCATCTCTTCTTTCTTTTTAACTATTTGACATTTATTTGTATTTATTTTTTAACTGATGTCATGAATTATTTATCTGCAACAAATTAGGTCTTTTGAAATATTTTAAGAAAATATATTAAACAAAAGGAATTGTTATAAAAAAAAAAAAAAAGGAAAAGATTGATAAAGACTGATACTGATTATTGATTGCCTTTATAGTGTCATGGGGCTTAGAGTTTAAAATGAACAGTTGATTTACCGACACCAAGAAGATTAATGAAGGATGATAATGATGAGGAAACACAGGTAATTTTAACAAAACAAGATAAGGAATTTATTCATGAATTTACATGCTTCACAGTGTCAGTAGCTCATTTCAGGAAAATAAATCATAATTCTTATAGTCCATAGTTTGAACATATCGTCATGAAGAGAAAATATTCTTACAACAGATTAAAAGATCCAAAACAAAATAACATTAAAAAATGTTTAAAAAAAAAGGTAAGAGAGTTCATTGCTCACTGAATGGATATATGGTTTGCATATGTTCAAAAGTAAACGAAGAGTTTGAAATACTTTGCTTTCTTGGATTGTTGAGAGAAAATTCTTTGAAATGACGCACGGTAGTTAGAAGTTGATAATATAATTGGCAAGTAATTTTACACAGGCTTTAGGCTGGTCCTGAGGAACTGAAACAAAACCTTTCTCATGATTTCAGACACTCTTATTAATTTTTCTCCTCATTTTATATCAAAAGTAGTTTTGCATAGGCTTGCTATATTCTTTCCTTCTTCTTGACTGACCAGCTAATTTCTGTGAAGGCAAGGTTTTCATTGATCCATTAAATAACTTCACATGGGCTCACAAATTTTTCTTCTCGGCTCACAGATTAAGTTCTGTGAAAGGCAAAAATCTCACATAGGCTCATAAATTTCTTTCCTTCTTCCTCAGTCCTCCAAATTTGAAGGATGTGGGTGAACTGAAAGGAGTTATTTCACACTCACTACAAATTAAACTTTTAACATTTTTTTTTTGTATGGATTTTTTTCAGAACATGCACAAACATTTGAGATTCATACTTATTTAAGAATAAATGGATACATAATTTTATTAATTTATGTAAGCCTTAAAAGAAATGGGTTTTCCGTCTTATTCTTTCTGTTTTTTTAATTAATTTTAGCTTATATGTGGATGGAGATGGGGTAGGTATGCTTTTTAGGGAGTAGTCGAGGCAATATTTTTCTATGTCTATAGCATAATGTGTTATAAATGTAGCAAAAGTGCTCTACTGTTTATCAGGAGCTGAATATGAAGAAATATAGTTTTAAGGTGTGCTATATTTATGGGATAAAGTGCTCAATATCAGAGATTGAGTGTATGTAAATATAAAAGAGAACATTGAAGTCAACACTCAGAGGCGACAGACTGTTTCATGCTAGACGCAATCGTCAGACAATAGTCGGCCTGACGATTGCGTCTCTAGCATACCCGTTTGTTAGTTATTGAAGAAGAGAAAATTTTTTGCAACCACCAAAACGTCTGTATTCGTACGCAAAACAGTTAAGTTCAATAATTCTGTAAAAGTCAGGGATTGATTTAAATGTGCATCGATATAAACAAAACTTCTCTTCTAAATAAATAAATCAATAGTTTTCGATTCTGACAAGAAGTGTCATGGCCTCAGTAAAAAGAATGCTAATCTACAAAAATTATTCCCCCACCCGCAAACTTTTTCCTATCTTTTTTTTTTTTTAATAAGTTGAACCCCGCCAAGTGATGTCAAAGTGACAATGAAAGGAATCACATATATGATAAACTCCTTTACGTGTTAAAAAAGTTTTATCATATTTTATTCATGAGAACTTTTTTAGACTTTAAAAAAAAAAAAAAAGAAAAAGACAGAGAGACATAGGATCTGCTTTTCAAAATTGACGAACCGGCTCGGTATGTAATCGTGAATTAAAAACCTTTCGTGATATATTTCCCTTATCACAGTTAACAACGATTTCATAAGACAGTTAATGTTACGCAAAAAAGCTGTCTTTTTAGTCTTTATTTGATTTTTGTTTTTTTAGCAGTATTTCCAACCACGACGCAGACAAATCTCTTCCATGGTCTGAAAGAACTCATTTGTTTTTCAATGGAGAAAAAACGCAGTTACCCTTTCTTTAAAATATTAATTATTTTAAATATAATATTTTAAAGAAAAGGTAACTGCATTATATATATATATATATATTTTTAAAAAAAAGAAGATTGTCTTGAAAAACTTGCCGAAGACTTGAATTGCCATTTAAATTCAAATAAGACTTAAAAAATGACAAAAAACTATATACGCCATAAGTTTTTTTTTTTTTTTTGCATATTAAAAAAAAAATAATACACCCCAAAATACCATTCAAACATAAGACAAAAAGGGTGTTTCTGACATATCGAAGTGTATATGGGTCATCTGCTGGTAATAACTGTTGTTGTCACTCTCGTCACATACTTAAGAAGAGGCTCTCCTCAACTCAAGTAGACAAGACCAGTCCCAATTTTACTCGCTTACACATAATAAAAATATTTTTTTTTAAAAGTTAAAAAAATAAAAAAAATTAAAAAAACAAAAAGGCAAGTTAGGATTAGTACTTAGTTAAATTAAAGAAATTTATTCTAGCGAAAAAAATAATTTCTTTTTTTTTTTGTTTAATGCACAAAAACTAAACACAATCATAAATAAATAAACTCTTTGCCACAAAAATAGATTTAAAAATAAAATTAAAAAAAAAACATAAAAATGAAAATCAGCGAAAAAACAAAAAATTAAACGGAATTTTGTAAAAGAAAAGAAAGTTAATTAATATCACTAATTTATATTAAGAAAAATATTTCATTTATTGTAATTATCAATTTCTAGTTTAAATTGAATATGATTTTATTTTACCCATTGATGTCGATTATCGAAGTTCTTTGTTTTTTCAATGTTTTCTTTCCAATATTTTTCTTCGTTTTACTTACATGATGAATGTAGTAAAAAAAGACATCGTTGATGTTGAATGAATCCATATTTATATACACACAGAAGGGAACTAAACAAATTATTTTTTATTTGTTTTTAAAGCTCGCTTTTAGTTTTACACAAACATACGAAATAAAATAACAGTACTAAAAAATCATTCATTAAAGAAACAATTGAATAGAATCTATCTTCAAGCAGTCTGTGTGCAAGTTAGTCACCAACAAAATCAGAAATTTACTTTTTAGCCAATTTTACTAAAAGAAAAACAATTATCAGTAGAAACAATTTAAATTTTTACATTTTTTTGTGTTACTCACTGTTGTTACAACGTTCAGACTTACTTCACAGACCAGAGGTAATTGTAGTAAAAATATTTCAACAATTTTCTTTTGAAAACAAAGAATTATACTTTAATAATCGCACCTAGTTTTAAAATGTTGCTTTTTTTTTCTTTGTTTAGGAATATTTTTAATTATACTTACATCTTTAAGAAGATGAGAGAAAAAAAAACGTGTTCGTGAGTGCGTGTGTTTACACGCACTAAGTTGTGAAATCTGACAAGTGAAGTAAAAGTAAATCTACTTACACAACTAAACTGGCAAGCAAACTAGTGAATTTGATATCAAGCACCCACGACCTGACCTCTAAATATAAAAGAAAAGATAAAATCCAAATGGCTTCACACCACACAGGAAGACAAGGTTTTCAGGGGAAAACGTGTGTCACTTGAAGGGAGAACAACGATTATGTGTGTTCTGTTCGGTAATTATAAACCGTTATACTATTATTCTAGAACTGTTTCACGAAGGAATGGAGAGAATGCTAAGCACTAAACCTCCATCCCTCTGTTTCTTTCACGTTTTAATCTCAATCTCACTTTCTCTCTCTTTTCTCTCTCTCTTTTTCTCTCTCTTCTCTCTCTCTCTCTCCCCTCCCCTATATGTGTGGGTTCGGCGGTTTACACTTCTGTAGAAAATGAATTTGGTGGGCTAAAGGTAAAAGGATTGAGATAAAAAATAAGTTTATTTATTTTATTTGAACGACATTTGTAAATATTAGACGATTTGGTTACACTTCAAGTGTAACCAAATCGTCTAATATCGTGTATTTATTAGTTGCATTTCTAATATCGTGTATTTATTAGTTGCATTTCCAAAGGTTTATTTTTTAAGAAAGGAAGAAAACCGATTTAAATTTATAAAACGAAGACGTAATACCCACAAGACGGCATTTGGGTAAGTGCCAGAAAGACTTAGTACTAACGAACAGACACAAAGGTATAACATAAATAATATATACTTATTTATTTGCTTTAGATTGGAGTGAGTCCTTTGTAATTTGGGGTAACGAAAGTTCGTTTATATATCAGATCTTGGTAGCAGTCTGGAGAAAGTCCGCTCGGGTCGATAGTTGATAGTACATTTGTCAAGCCTTGGTAGTAGTTGTCATCTTAGAAATAGGTGCGGCATCAATCTGCTGTTTTTTCTCGGCTTTAAGAAGTGCGGGAAATGTCTTAAGCAGATGACCACTTAGCTTCTTCACGTGGCACGCATGGCTGGTTTCTCTAGTGGTCCCTTCTCTTCTTCTGTCTCTAGGCATTTATATCCCTTTATACGGGGATCCAGACTACTAGCGCGAAGCTTCGTTTCAGATAAAATCAAAAGTCTCTTTGTTTGTTTGTTTCTTCTTTTTTTTTTTTTTTTTGATTGGCTAAAATTCTTTTTTTTTTTTTCGTAGTTCCATTCTTTTTCATTTTTTTTTTATAGTGGAAGCCTTTCTTATTTTGGTAGAGTTTTCGTCACAATGGCTAGACCCATGAACCAGAAAACTTCAGCAGTTTTCAGTCTTTTCTTTTTCCTCTTTTTTATTTGTGGGTTGCTTTCTTGTTAGTTGAGAGAAGACTAAGGGAGAGAGAGAGAAAGAGATGGGTTTTAAAGGAAAGCAAATACCTTATTTTAATTATATTTTATATATATATTATTTTCATATTTTATTTTACATTTGCATTCACCACAGTCTCATTTTTCCCTTCTTTTTTATTCATCCTTTCCATACACGGGGTACGACAGGCAACTGAGAACAAATTCTAATTAAAGAAAAACAAAGATGCTTAACAAAAAAATACATCAGTATATTATATTATCAATATAAATTTATATATGTTCAACTTTAGAAAAAGAGAAAAGTTACCACAATCAGCCTCGATGGTGGCCTTGGAAGTGAACCATGCCTAGACCACGTGGTTCTCGTTCTTCAAGTTGACCATTACGTCCATGATGGTAGCCTTCAAAGAATCCTTCGTTGTTTGGAGCCGCTGGATGATATCCCTTTTCGACGATACCCTATATGTCAGGATAGTTTGGAAAGCACATGTTAGGCGAAGCATGATCGTGAAAATTTTCGGCTATCAATTGCTTGGTCAGACGGCTTATGCGGATGAAAGCAGAGTCCTGTTGGAACACGTACGGCTTTGCAGGAATTGAAATTTTAAGTGACGACATCTTATCTATTTGGTATGTTATTGTTATTTGCCTTGGGCGTTTGTGTCATTTTTTTCAATGTAAGCAGGTTTTAAGTGATCAATTGATACTGGTCTTTCTTTTCATTTTTTTTTTGATCATGTAATATTTTTAGTGTAGTTTCAATACTATAATTTGGAAATAATCGTTTCTTAACTAGGTTGTTGCTGAAAAAATATGCTCGCAATTATATCGATGTGCATATATAAAATATTATTAGTCACATATCTACTTCTACTTTAGACCTTCTCATCCTTACTACCGTAATTACACATCATGATAATTAACGACGATCCAAGAAGAAAACTTAAACCAGCCCTTAAAAAATCACCTAAACCCTTTAACATTTTATTTTCTAACATTCGTGGCATTAGAACATGTAGCCGTCTCTTCTACTCCAATAGCTTCATGTCTCGCACTTCTCGTCTATGGAACTCCGTCCTCTTTTCCTGTTTCTCTGATAGCTATAATCTCCAACTATTCAAATGTAACGTCAATCGACGTCTCCAGATGCCTTGATCTATCCCCTATCCTCCTCTTCACCCTTTCCTCTATCACTCCTATTTGCTCTCGATCCAACTCTCTGTAACCCCTTGCGTACTAGTGCGTCCCACCTTGCTTGGGGTGAAACGCTTAAAAAAATCTGTTGAATGTAAAGATAATATGTTCATCTTGTCATTTAATTTCTTGACAAAGTCCAGAAATAGGGTCGATACTTTCTTACCTCAATGTATTGACCTTGTAATGTCAGTGAGGTTCAAAACGATATTTGGCGGACTCTTATGAATCTGGTTAAAAAAAAGATAACAAAACATGGAATTCAAACAGACAACAATTAATAAATATGTTAACAATACATGTTACAGAAGAATAAGAAAGAAACAAAGCTGATATCATGAACAGTTCAATACAACCTTCAGTCTGTTTATGAAGTACTTACATGCCTCATGTATATCGGAGCGAAAGGAAACGTGTGTTGCCGCTCCGAAAGTCAAAAGGAAAAGGGGAAGAACCTTTCAAATAAAGTGCCACCTCTGTTTATCGTCCGTGTGGGGAGGGGCGATAATCCAACAACGTACAACTTGATCAAAACTTTGACCAGATGTAGCTCTGATCCTGAATCACTACAGGAATAAGTGAGACAGTATGACCTGGTCATCGTTGGTCAAGAACCCAAAAGACCATAACAGACAACATTAACTTGATGTACACCACCGTCAGTACCTCTGCGTGGTTCCACCTGATCACTTAGCCACTCCCCAAAAACTTCGCTACTTCCGAGTTGTTGTTGGCTGGTGCAACGATCATGTCCATTTTAGGTACCGCCAAAATTTGAGCTAAAAAAAATTAAAAATGCATTTAAAATAATGTATCTTTCTCAGTAAAAGTTGGGTTCTATTTGAAAGATAATAGCCTAAAGCTTATCTATGAAAAAAGAAAAAATATTACGATGGCACAAAATTAAAGACATTTAAATCTCTTAGAAATTAAATATTTATCCTAGATATTAGTTTCAAAGGAAATACGTAAAATTAAGGACTGATTAACAGAATTTTTGAAAAATATTACTTACTGTACTCTAAAAACACAGCAACTGTCAATAAATTTATATATCAAATAATAGACGTTAACTCACACAAACCCCAAAGAAAATTAAAAAACATACATTTAATTAACAGGTCGCGATATCTATCAGAGAGATGAAATTTAAATTTTTATTATTGCATTATTCAAAAATTTTAACACAACAGAAGATAGCTATTAATAACATCAACTGAGCACAAATAGTTATTAATTTTTTAAAAATTAGTAATTAATGTATAACTACATGTACAAGAATGTCGTTTTTGATAAAAGTTAAAAAAATAACCATAAATACGTAAAAAAAATGCATATATTGTCCTTTTTCCATAATATAGCTATTTGTGCTATGCTATAATGCTTATTACCTAAAGAATAATATTGCTGAATAAATTGTTTTGAAACTTTAAAATATATTTAATCATATCTCCCTAACTGCTGATCTGTAAATACGAAATCTCAAAACTGCCAAAATCTACTCCATTTTGGTAGTTTCGTTTATGTTAAAAAATAATCTTTTTTTTAACTTTCTTTAAACAATAATAATTCTATGAATAAAATTATTTCTTTTTTATATTAATAGGAATATGAAAATATTTTTAAAAATATTAAAATGTAGTAATATTTTTATCCATTGCATCTCTTCTTTTCTTTTCTTTTTCTTTTTTTTTTAACTATTTGACATTTATTTGTACTTATTTTTTTAACTGATGTCATGAAATATTTCAAGAAAATGTATTAGACAAAAGGAATTGTTATAAAAAAGGAGAAAATTGATAAAGACTGATACTGATTATTGATTGCCTTTATAGTGTCATGGGGCTTAGAGTTTAAAATGAACAGTTGATTTACCCACACCAAGATTAATGAAGGATGATAATTACACAGGTAATTTTAACAAAACAAGATAAGGAATTTATTCACAAATTTACATGCTTCATGTACTGTCAGTAGCTCATTTCAGGAAAATAAATCAGAATTCTTAAAGTCCGTAGTTTTTTAACGTATTGTCATGAAAAGAAAATGTTTATACAACAAATTCAACGGTCTGACAGAAAATAATATTAAAAAATGTAAAAGGAAAAGAGTTCATTGCTAACTAAAGGGAAATATGGGTTGCATATTTAGTGATTGGCTACTTCAATAATTAAATGTGTAAAGTTATAGTGGGAACTTACTTAGTTGGTGTGTTTTAGTGTGAATCATTCGAAACCCTTGTAGCTTCAGCATGAAAAGTTCATATCAGCCGTTCAAAAAAGGGAAAACCCCGAAAAGAGAGAGAGAGTTACTTTAGGGTTCATGTGTTTTTATATTCAAGAGCTGCTGCTGATACAAGGTTTATTTAGAGCTGCTACTGCTACTATCTTTGATGTCACTACACATACTTTCAAAAGTAGATGAAGAGAAATAGTTTGAAATACTTAACTTTTTTGGATTGTTGAGAGAAAATTCGTCGAAATGCCGCGTGCTTGTTAGAGGCTAATAATATAATTGGCGAGTAATTTTACACTGTCGGGAACTGAAATGAAACTTTTCACACGACTTCAGTCTTTTCTGATTAATTCAATGACTTCAGTCTTTTCTGATTAATTCAATTTTTCCACTCATTTTATATCAAAAGGAATTTGTTTTCGCTTATCCAAGTATATGGTTTCAGAAAAAAATGCTGATTAACATGTCCTTAAGAATACTGGTGTTAATGTTAATGAGGTGTTAAGAGGGTTATACTGCGCTTCAAATTAGATCTCTTTCTGATTCACTCTACATATCGGCCGGATGTGAACACTAAGAAATCAAAACCCAAAATCAAAACGTCATCCGCTACGCAGGGGCTCCAAGGATCACATTCAGCCCACAACACAAATCCCCTAAAAAAAAAAAAAACACACACACACACACACAATCACGAACGTTGTTGCCAAATCAAAAACATGAAAAAAAGATGAGCTACCATATTTGCTTTAAAAAAGCTGTTCATAAACGACCGAGTCAGATTCACGACAAACGGCAAGCTTCACTAATCCACTCCAGGCCTATCTCGACGTCCCCACCGTGAAATCGGTCAACCGTTCCTACAAATGCATCAACTCCAGGCATTTTCCCTGCTTATTTCAAAGCCACCTCCCTCTCCTACATTTAGAGACATTCCACTCGCATTCGCAATTTGCCTACTACTACTACAGATCAAAATGCACGGGGTACCACGAGCCTAAAAAGACAGCACTTAAGTTTCTTAACCGAGTGAACGGAGACTAGAATTGCAGTTACTAGATACTGTAGTCAACTAACACAAGACAACACATCAGAATAAAGTCTTCGGAGTTGGGCTCAGGACCTGTGTAAGAAGTGAAAAATCTTTGACGTGAGCCTACATAGTAATATCGAGAGTTGTACTAAAACAGCAAGGAGCAATGAAGTAATTTGGGGGTCTGATATTATAAGTAGCAAAAAAGATCACAAGTATCGTAGGGGCATCACATATATGAAAACTGTCGTAGCAGTGAGGGGAGTCTACGACAAGATAACCTGACGGATCTCATCCCTCTTCAGGTTGGTTCTGAATTCAAAATTATCCTTTTTCTAGAGTTATCGCCCCACCAAGGCTCGTTCTGCACTGCTATTTAACCTATAGCTAGAGAAAGATGGATTCATGCCTTAAAAAAAAACATAATAGTTAAGCGAATGAAACAAGCTTGATCAGAATTTGAACTCTGCGTACAAATTCCACTTTCTACGCGCATAGCCGTTACGCTACCTGCACATATACAATAATATTATAGTTCATTATAGGTCCTTTCAAATTGTTTGACGGTGCCAAGATAAACGCAGAGAATTATTTTAAGTTATAGGACATTACATTTTTTTTCTTTTGAGCGGCACTGCTCATAATTAAGAAACTTTATGGTAAATGCAAAATGATGCTTCTTCATATTCTGCAATGCCGACTCTTGTCCACATTGTCAAAATGGTGTCATTGATATAAAATTTAAAGCCTCTCCAAATATTAATTCAATAGGAAAACTTCTGGTCTATCATTAAAAGAGTTGTCTACATCAGAGAATGAAAACCAAAGGACTCTAGGAGAAAATAAAAACTGCTGCAAGTAATGTTAAAGTTGAATAATTAGGAAAATTAACAAAATCAATGCGAGAAAGATAGATGAAGGTTATAGGATGCTATGGAGCCTATATGAAAATCCAAAATAATTAAATAATTTATTCAGGAATATGATATATTGTGATTATAAAATATATATTCATGCGACAATATATTTTGGATTTATTAATAAATAAAAATCTATTTTATCAAAGCAATAAAAACGAACATAACGTAAAAAACAACAACTACGGTAGCTAGCAATACGAAATTAGGAACATTAAAGAAAGAAATGAAAAATCATACCGAATGAGCTTACCTTATTCTTACTCTTCTTTCGTCAATACTCGACCGAAGACCGTCCTTGGTAAGACGATAAACTACATCCGCATCCTGTGTAAGACGATAAACTACATTCGACAGTCAGGCCTTTGATTAGGAGGTTTTGAGGAGCATGGAACCACCTCTTAATTGCTGATGTTCCATGGTCCACCTTGACCTGGGTGGTAGCACCTGTCAGGATCCCAGCTGTGGGCAAATATTTAACCCCCACCCTCCAAAAGGGGGTTAAAACACTATGAAAATATAAAAATAAGTTTTAATACAAGTAATACTTTTTTTGGAAAAATTATTACCAGCAGTACAGTTTTGTAAAAGAAAAAAATATTACCAGCAATACATTTTGAAAAAAAATTATTACCAGCAATAAAAATCTTCTTGGCATTAAATAACCCATTAACGCTGGTATGCCGTCAAACAAACCAAACCAATCGACCGAAGAAAGTAAAATTATTGTACAAAACCGACTAAAAAAGAAACACGGAATAAATACACGTATATCAATAATATAGCGATTTACTAAGCTTAAACGTGGCACAAGGCAACAAGTATGGATTTCCAGTGAGGGTCGAACTCACTACTCAGTTGTAAATGAATTTATGAGACATATATGCTTAACCATACGCCACGTCAGGTTATCTTGTCCTAGACTCCCCCTCACTGCTACAACAGTTTTCATATATGTGATGCTCCTACGATACTTGTGATCGTGATATTTTTACTACTTATAATATCAGACCCCAAAATTACTTCATTGCTCCTTGCTGTTTTAGTACAACTCACGATATTACTATGTAGGCTCACGTCAAAGATTTTTCACTTCTTACACAGGTCCTGAGCCCAACTCTCAATTTTTTATAAACAAATCGCATTTAGTCCCAACAACCAGTCCTTCTGCCTGCATAAGAAAGGTTGTCTTGATTTAATGAAAATACTTTCAATGACTTAAATAGTAGTTTAGATCCGCATAAAACAAAGAACATGTCTTCTCGCAAGGATGATACATAATTCAGATATTTTTATAATGTGCGCAGACCAAGATGCGGGAGCACACTTATTCAAATTATCTAATCGACACTTTCTACTACCCGCCGAGACACGCTGTGTAATTATCTTCTGTAGAAGTTGAATGTTATTTTCTCGATCGAGTTCTGACGAATGAGAAGCGATAATCGGTTATCTCATTCTCTATTATTTAATTACGTTTGTTTTCATTGCTTTAATTAAATTTTGTACCTATAGAAGTCTATATTGCATGATAAATAATAATCCAAAACTTACTAACATTTTCTTATAACGATAGATATTACAGATTGAAACTCTCACGATATATTCCATACCTGAAAAATTTACTATTAGCTGTTGTCTATTAACAATTTTATTACACGAGCATTGATTTACATAATAAAATCTGGCGAAATCTATTCAGCTAGTTGAAATATATAAAATGCCAACCGAAGTTGGGCACTCCGTAAAATAAAACAATTAGGTTAATGAGTCAACTTCAAAATAGCAAGTCTCACCCAAGTCTGAACTCTAGACTTTGTTATTTTCATTTAAATGTTCCAAGTATTCGGTTATCAGTGGGATGAGAGTTTTGTTTCCTTATGAAATTGTCCTTGATTTTGGCCTGATTTATTCAATATAAGAAACTAATTCATTATATGATGCTTATCGCTAAATTTATGTACAAAGGTTTTGAATGTGGTTTCATACTGTAACATAATTAAATTTCTTTGAACTCAGCCAAGTCTAACACAAGATAACATTTGAGGAGCTCTACAAGAATATTAATTGGTTATTAATTGATAGCGGAAACAAATCAGTAAAAGGTAAATATAGGTTTAGACCGATCAAAATTAAACATTTCCGTTTATTTCAATCTATGATAAACCTATTTCTAGCTTGTCACTTGGAATAAGAATAATAATCCTGTCGTGGTGAGGTGCTACCACTTTGTAACGAAAAGTGGTTGAATACTTTCAAAATAAACGAATTCAAGAGGAGGATTTAAAATATATATATATACATATTTATATAAAAAGGCAACAAGAAAAAAGGTGAGAAAAATATGCTTTTGTGTACAGATAGACAACTCAAAAAAAGAAAGGAAACATTTATGTTCTTTAATGGCAATCTTTGTGTGAGAGAGTGCCACGGGGCTTAGTGAAACTAAGTAGTCGACTTACCGGGGGGGGAGAAATATCACCGGCGTTGTCGTTACTACATCCCAAAGAAAAAGAAATAGAGAGCGAGCCACTTCATTTTATACTGCTGATTACCAAGCCACCTAGTGGCGTTAAGCGAAGTTCATTGGCAGGTAAAATAGGGCAGGTACCATAGAAAGCATAGGATCTCGGAAATGTTTCAGGTTGTTCTTGTCCTGAAATTGTCAAATAATCAGAAGCAAACACAACCTTTTCTGCATAACTTGTTTTCATTGTAAATGCAAACAAATTATTCTTGCTTCACAAAAACTTATACCCTGCAGTATATTTTATACACAGAATCTTTCGATTAATTTTATTTCTTTATATTGTATTTTAAGAGGATAATGGAAAGATGCATTGATGATAATGGAATATAATCATTTTATCGTTAGTAAAAGGAACTTTAAAATGTTAGAAAAATCAAATTCCATCGGTGCCTAAAATTTGAAAAGATTCTGGCCAAAAAGATTTCGCTAATTCTGACTTTTCATCCACTTAAAACTTAAAATAGGGCACACCATCTTTAGCAAGTCAAATGCACAGTATGCAATATAAACGTATGCAGAACTGATAATTTTTAATGTTTAATAAAATTTCGTGTTTATTTAAAGAACAACATAACATATTTTTTCCTTTTTCATACGTCATTTTTATTTTAATTATAATAGAACATGTTTTTGTCACATTTTTGTAGTAACAGATTTAATAGTGTCGTCATGTGTGCAAAATAAGATATGTTAGGCCAAATGTTGATGTGGGTTTGCTGTGGGTGTCGATTTGTTGCGGTTAAGTAGTAGTCGTCACTGAAGAGACTTCACTGCAAACTTGTAAAGAAATGAAAATGGAGACAGATTTTAAAATTAACACATAACAAATTTGTTTGTTATCGCAATAATAATTGTTTCGGTCGTTGTACGCTCCGGCCTTCTTCAGGTGGTTGGAATTTCGAACTGAACCCTTTATTTCGCTCACTGGGGTAGAGTGTTCTAGTTCCACGTGCCATGTTTAATGGATGTCAGTTATCAGTTATCTCCTGTTAATTCCTCACTCTAAGTTCTCAACTGCCTTAACTGAGTATTGAACTCACACTCTTTGGGTCCTGTCACTGGATCTAACTAACGCCTTTATCCACTGTGCCATGTGTCCTTGAGGATAACTGACATCCATTAAACATGGCACGTGGGACTAGAAGTGTTTACCCCAGTGAGCGAAATAAAGGGTTCAGTTCGACATTTCAACCACCTAAAGAAGGTCGGAGCATACAACGGCCGAAACGTTGTAATAAATATGTCGACAAAGATGAGGACAATAGTCCGAATAATATAAATAGTGTACATCATACCTCATCTCAGAAATATAGACAGATACAACCAAATCAATTCTTATTTCTTTCTTTCTTTCTTTCTTTCTTTCTTTCTTTCTTTCTTTCTTTCTTTCTCATTCTTATACATAACAATCTATAACAAGTATCAACCTTACTATTACAAATAGTACATTCTTCCGACTGCACATTTATCTTTTCATTAGCAACAGGTACTCTCAAGTTATCTTTTCCTTCGTTAGGTAGATGATGCTGTGTGTCATTAAATATAACGTTATGTTGACAACAGCAGAAACAGCAACAGAGTTATCAACTGTAATTATTCCACTAGATTTTCTCTTCTGAATTAATAATACATTAATCCAGTCTCATAATAGATATGAACATGGCATATGTAAAACAAGTTAACGATTTCTACATACGACTTCCAGAAAAAACAGAATGAGTGAAGGATGTTGACAAGTTCTTGGTGCGACCTACTTTCCCAAATCTGACCAAATAGCCAACATTGGTCGGGCCAAGAATCTTTCATCGCCATCCCGTAAGTATAAAATAAGAACAAATTCTCAAAGTTGCTGGAATAGTTTCACTATGTTTAATCAATGACGCCAATCCTAATTTTTCTGAAGACAATGACTTGTAATAACAAGAAACATTTACACAATGTCGCCGACCCACTTTCTTTTCTTATATATGTCTGTAGTGAAACTGTTTTAAATGACTTATCATAGCGCAAGAAGGTGATTTTCACAGATATGATTGTTATGTTGGTATCAACGGATGTTACTTGGATTTTAACTTTGCTATTTTGCAATGTGTCGATTAAATTTGTGATTTCAAAAGTGTATTACAGAGACGGCCATAAAAATCATTTTATTATTATCTTTATTTTATTTCCTTTGATTTCTGATGTGTACTCATTTCTTTCCGGGTCTCGCCCAGGGATCTAAGGCTAGAAATGGCGACATGACATTTTCCATAAAAAAATTTTTTTCAAAGACATAGCCCTTCGTAAGGTGTGGGCTGTACTCGTGAGAACAATTTTTTGTATTTCTTTAAGGCATGGGCTTCCAGGGATCCCTTCAATTAGTCTACTGGAATCTTTTCTAACCAATCCGAGGGCTCCAACTACAACGAGGATTGTTGATGTTCCCATGTGCCACATTTTTGATATTTCGATTTCAAGGTCCTTGTATTTTGATAGCTTTTATTATTATTATTATTATTATGATTTACTTTTTTTGTACGAGTTGTCTCCCAAGTCCCAACCAATGACGTCTAGATGTAGCAAGTTTGTACATAAAGTGTGAGTTATCCTGTATTTTGTTTGGGTGGGAAATGTTAAATGTACAGAAGTTTTTAAATTAATAATTCCTTCTTTTTTTTTCTTCTTTCAAAATGTGTACGCTTATAGTTCAAGTCCAAGAAACCATTGAAAGACAATTCACAAAATATTACTATGTTTATCATTATTATTAGATGTTTCATCCGGGTGATGACGGTCATATCTCAAAGCTTAGACACAATACTTTCCTCAGCACATAAGAAGCTTCAAACAGTACTGCCACCTGTACACTCGCAATGCGTATCCCCAAGGCGTCTTACGAGGCAGAGAGATTATTTTAAATATTCCTGAACGTGCCATTTACAAAAGGAACAACCCTGAACTATTGCTGCTTGGTACGTTTCTTCAATTTGCCCTGCAAAGTTTTGTTATATCTGTATTTTTGCTCGATCCGCCTTCACGATTTTCTTATCCCAATGTACCGCAACGTCTTTCAAGATCCATTCATGTCTACTCTTGGACACGTGTAATACCAGGGCGTTTGCTCTCCAAGTGCTTGTCAGTAAAGATAGCTGTATTCCACACGGGCTTTACTTGTTCATTCCTGGTTACCGACAGTAGTGAATACTCCTACCACTTTTCTGCGCAATACTTCCTGCATAGTTTCCAGTGTATTCTGAGGGCTCCTTTGTCATGGCGTCGTCTGTGCTGTTTTTGTGATAGTTGATTGTAGTCACTAACAATGTGTTTCACACATTCAGTAGCTTTTGCGCAAGTGTGAATCAGTTGTTCTGTTCCTAGTGTACCTGATTACTTGAATGTTCTATATGCGAATAGTTACAAACAGAGACGACACAGAAATCACTTATGTAGTTGAGTTTATCAATGTAAAGGTGAGAGTAGTCATCAGGCTTGAATCGTGACTCAGGGCAGAAATATAGGTGGTGAAAAAGAAGACAGGGTAACAATAACAAACAAGTTTATTGAAGCTACTTGTGTTGTGAACATTCTGTCTTTCGGAAAGCATGTCTATAGTTGAAGTCAGTTGAATAGGGGAACTGGCGAAGACGTCTGCGTTTGCTGAGAAATATATTTGCAGAGATGAAAGGCTCAATCCGTCACGTTATCTTTGTTTGAGTTGTTCATGAAGAAGAGACTGACGACGGAATTTAGAAATCCATTTTATAGCTGTGGATAAGATCCCAGAGTGAGTTCAAGTGATGATATACTAGGATATACTTTAATTAATAATTTAAATAGTAGTATATGTCGACAGTTTGTCTCTACACTATATAGTGGGAGATTCATACAGTGGAGTTGAATAAGTGATCGTACAGCAAACAAATACTTGTTATTCTCACTTATAGCGAATGAAAACCTCGAATAACAATGTTATATATGTATTTTGAGACATAGAATCAGAATTTAAATTTAGAAAACCATCGATAAGTGATAGTTATGCAAATTTATTCTAAACTGTTCTAGAATATTCTCAGTCACTCTATTGCAACATTCAGCTCAAAATTGGATCATTCTGCAGACACTGTTCACTGATAACGGTTATAATAATGGCTAGACGTAAGGAAATGACTTGTGCTCAAAAAGAGCTAATTATTAAGCCATGGAACAATGGAAAAAGTTACAGAAACATCTCCTGTGACACGAACATACCTTTTTCAACAAATGGTTCATTTATTGCAAGATTTAAAAGATGCAATACTGTTGAGAACAAAGGCAGACCCGGTGCTCCCAGGAAGATCTTTCCCAGATTATGAAGCAAGTTGATGCGACAGGTCCAAAATAACCCAATGTCCATCAGACAAGACCTTCAGAATGAGTTTGTCAGGAGTTAACGTAACTAAGCAAACAATTAGTAATGAACTACTCAGAGACGGTATAATGTCGCGCTCCCCAAGAAAGACGCCACTCCTTCTGAAACGGTATAGAGATGCCAGGTTGAAATTTGCGACAGAGCATAAATATAAGGAAAATTCTTATTGGGAAAGAGTTCTTTGGACAGATGAGAGTAAAATTGAGTTGTTCGGTCGCAATTCCCTGAATCATGTATGGAGGAAAGACGGTGAAGCATATGCACCCAAAAACATGGTATCATGGTTTGGGGCTGCTTTTCGATGCAAGGTGTTGGCAAACTAGCAATTATAGACAGTAGAATGAATGCAGAAAAATATCAACAAATCCTAAGCGAAAATTTATCGTTTTCTGTAGAGAATCTTGGGCTTCCTCCTGGTTGGATCTTCCAGCAATGATCCCAAGCATACTGCTAAGAGTACGAAGAATTGGCTTGCTAATAACAATGTTAACATCTTACAATGGCCCAGTCAGTCGCCGGATTTGAATCCAATAGAGAATTTATGGCGGTTTTTGAAAAATAAGATCCATGATAGAGGTCCAACAAACATCAAAAAGCTGAAGACAATTACTCAGGAAGAATGGGACAAAATACCTACTAAAGTATGCGAATCGTTAATTAAAGACTACAGGAAGAGATTGGTTGCTGTTGAACTTAATAAAGGCTTTGCTACAAAATATTAAATGGAGAAAACATGTTTTTGTTCTGCTGAACGATCATTTTTTAAACCGCTAAAAATTTAAATATTGCTATATTTTCTTAATCATGGAATATTATTTAGTTTTATATGCATACATTTTTAGTATGTAATCTGATACTGTGGATATATTCCCGTTTTGTTAATTTAATATGTTACAAATAAAAATATGAAATATTTTCATGTGTACGATCACTTATTCAACCCCACTGTATATAATTAATTGTGCATACAAATGCATAGCAGGAGAAAAACACTTAGCTTCTACAATAAAGAAGATAAATGTTTTACTACTTCTCTCTCTCTCTCTCTCTCTCTCTCTCTCTCTCTCTCTCTCTCTCTCTGTTCTAACCAAAATTTCATCAGTACTGATCAATCCGTTATAGCCAAGGAAAGGCAAATTAAACTTAATTAGTTATTACATTTTAATTTTACTGCATCTAGTCGAAAAATATTTTCTTTGTTTTTCCATCTGTATTCAAGATATGGGATTAACCAATCACTGACCATGTATCGTTGTGTCATGTGGTGCGTCACATTGTAAAATTGTTGCTCTCGTTTCTTCTTCACATAAAAAATACAAAACTCAAATGTTATTAGAGGAGATACTAGAAAAACATGAAATTAGTTGATGTTTTTTTATTGGGTTGAAAACACAATCATCGAAAAATATACTTAGCAAACGATATTTTTATTAGTGAAAAGTGTTAAATTAACTAAAATATTTATGCAATAACTTCACCCAGCTAACGTAAGAAAATTTATTTTATTTTCGTACCTGTGAGCTGATTCTGATGCTGCTGTTAGGGTTCAGATTCCTGTCGCCAGCCATCTGAAACAATCTTCACCGCATATCACCTACTCTCGGGGATAATGTTGAGTGTTACTGCTGGAGATAATTAAGGGTAAAATTGTAACAATTACTAATGAATATGCTATTTCAATCCAGGTCTGCACATTTGTCATGCAATTACATTAGTTTCGTAACCTATTAGGACCATTGGTACACCACAAGTACTACCTGCCGTAGCAGCAGAAGATGTGTTTAAGGCAAGATAGCCTGACAGAGCCCATTTCTCTTCAGGCTGGTATTGAATTCAGAGTTGTCTTTCTACTAGACTGGTTGCCATGCAAGGCTAGAATGCCTTGTCTACCCTACTATTAAACTCATAGCTTGGTTGAGGTAGAGAAAAGACGGATTCATACATTTTCCAAAGGTGTTTGTACGAAAGCCAATAATAACATAACTGGGTCACTACTATCTTGTAGGATAGTAGTGATCCAGTTTTCAATTCAAAAGAATTTCCCGGTGACCGACTATACAAAGAAATTGTAAATAGTTTAATCTATGTAATGACTAGTACTAAACATGATTAATATTACATGATTGCTAAGATTACTATCTCAACGCTTAGCAAAACCTACAAATGGTTATTAAATTTTAGTAAATTTGTTTTAAAATGTATTTTACATTACAGGCTAAAATTCAAAAGGTCTGAAAATAATTTAATAAGATTTTGTGATTCATATTGAGAAAATTCAGAAGATGGAAGAACTAACTCTTGATATTGTTACGAATAGATTGATTTTCGTGAAAATCAAAGAAGCCAAACATTGTTGCTTTCTTTAACATAATATACGGTCTTACTTGATGCAATACAAGAAGTAAATTTTCTGATAATACTATTCGTGATATGAAGGGCAATGATGAGTCACCAGTAAATATATATATATATATATATATATATATATCGATAACGAAGGATCAATAAAGTTAGAAAAGAATACCATACATCAGCAGAGTTTACAAAAGCATTGATGTATAATGCCATTATATCAGACTTCAAGTTCAAAAATGGCAATATACGTTCGCATTATATACCTACAAATGGCAATATTGCAGATGTATTCAGGAAGTAGTTTGGTAAATTTAGGCGTCCGTCAGTCTCGGGAGACTATGGAGTTGTAGGCTGGAAGATGTTTATGGTACAACATCCGTTCTGGCTTGACATGCCTGTTCAAGAATTGCAGACTAAATCTGATGCAGGTCTGTCTATCAGACTTTGGGCCTTTGCCGTTTCGCCTCGAAGTGTTGGCTAAATATCACTTCGAAATTAGAAAGGCTCTTCTGCACTACATGCCTCCAGAATGGCCACTCAAAGGTTACAGCTTTCTACGTGTCTGGATTGATGCCTTAGGTCTTTAGTTCCTTTGTACATACATATTTGCATCGTAGTTTGGGTTTACTTGTGAGGCGCTTTTCCTGACCCAACTCTCCGTACAGGATGTCTTTGAGTATTCGACCTTCGTCCATTCGCAAACGTCTTTGCTTCAGGCGTGCGTATATGCTGAAAAATCCGGCTCTCTCCGAGATAATGTTGTTGGATACTTTGCCAAGAGACATTCAAGATGTATTGAAGATAGCGCATCTGAACGATACTGAGTTTCCACGTCTGTCCAACATGCAGTGTCTAAGATTCACTGCCATTCAAGAGGGCACTCAGAACGCCACCAGGATCTTGACGTGTCTATCAGCTTCCTGCTGTTCCACGCTCCCTTTGTTAGAATGGTAACAATTTTACGAATCCACTTGTTTAGTCCAGAGGAGTCTAAGATCGTTGAACCTAAGTATACAAAAATCATGGATAACTTCCAGGTCGTGATCAGAAGTTGGATGGGCAATCTATGTTCTGTTCCGTGACCTGTTTTCTTGAAACTGATGGTAAATTCGAAGAAGACGGCCAATCTCACCGAAGTGATTCATGAGCTACTGAAGATCTTTGGCTGAGCGTATGATAAATGTTGTTATTTACGTCAAGTATAAATTGCATTGCTTTCACGCATTGTCCTTAATCTCATCTTTCCTAGCCCAAGTTAAATATTGGCAACTCAATCACTACAACGATGATAATACAACAGCTACATATTTAATGATCCCGTCGGAAATAAACAACAATGGTACCCCTATCACTACAAGTATATGTATACATATCCTGAGGGCTCTAAGGTAAAACCCTATAATTATTCCAGATTTTATTCTCTTGTTGTGGTGGGAATACAAATTGATAAGGTCAGTTTTGTTAGTAGGTTTTCGGTAAACTTTAAAATTTAATTTATTATCGTTACATATTAATAAGATATCGAGGAAAGGTAGGGAGTTATTTGTTTCAAATTTGTTTCTGACTTCGATGGTTGGTTCAGCCTTCTTGGGTTTAACTATTATTTTTAAAAGGTTAGTATCTTGGGAATAAAATAAGAGGACGTCATCAATGTATCTTAGGTAAGTAGAGATGTTAGGTATGATATGTTTAAATGGGGCGGATTCTAGAAAAGAATTTCTGTATATATATATATATATATATATACAGAAATTATATATATATATATATATATATATAAAGAAATATATATATATATATATATATATATATATATATATATATATATATATATATATATAGAAATCCATCGATTAGTGCAGCTAATGTGTACATCGGTAACTAAAAAATCAATTTTCAATCTATGGTTAAACTGGAGAATGTTTTACCGCGCTAATCGAATATTATGTATATAATCGAATTTCAATGTATAAGATTTTAGCGCACTAATCGAAACGCCTTAGTCGAGGGATTCCTGTACATACAGAACAACATACCTCAGAAAAGAAAAGAAATATATATTTATGGGATTTTTAATAGCGGACATGCTATTGCGGTTGCATGAGGTTTTTATCTGAATAGGGGACAGTGTGTGTGTGTGTGTGTGTGTGTGTGTGTGTGTGACGCGCTACGTGATTCGTGTGAATCTAAGAAGCTGGTTCCTCCAAGGAGTAAGTCTCCTCAAACGGGGAAACGAGACACGTCATGTTACTATAACATCCTGTAGTTAAAGAGAGAAAAGAGACTTTTAGTATTTTCCTTTAAAACTGCTTTATACAACACCAACTAGTGAGCGTTAAGAGAATTCCCATGAGAGACAACGTGATGTAATACCACAATGCTTATTATCCTGGGTGAGCATCCAGTTTGGAGGTCAAGATTCTGAATAGGCCGTCTCTGCTGACAAGCTCAAAAGTATCTGTAAAGTCTATGAAAGCAATGAAAACTGTCTTTGTTCTTTGCCTTTCCCCTAAAGTTGTCTGTGAAAGAAAACCATATTGATAGTGAACCTGTTTACATGGAATCCACACTGTGATTCAGGGTAAATTCTCTGCGCAAGGACTTGGAGCCTCTTCAGTGCAATTCGAACAAAAAGTTTCCGGACGATGATTATGAGGAAAATATTGCAATAGTTGTTGCCATTGCTCTTGTTGTGGTGGTGATGATGTTGGCGTATCTCAAGTCTTGTGAAACTTCTCTCCAGCAGACACACATAATCTCGCGTAGCTCGGTGATGATGATGGCGTTCTTGCAGTATTTCAAGACTTCGGCAAGGATGGCGTCTTTTCCTGGCGGGTTGCGTCTCTCTGACCAAGCGCAAGGGTGAGTTATGATAGACTCCTGTAAGATTTTAAATATCAGAGTGGCATCACTCGACCTGAGGCCGAAAGTGAACCCTTTCGCAGCGTGACTTCACTTCACTAAACCCAAACGTTAAGTAAGCAGTGAATATACGTATTTACTTGTTTATCTAGATAACGTGCAAACCTACTTGTGAACATTTCCGACTTCTACATATCTGTACCAAAACGGTTCAGGAGTGTTTTCCCAATGTTTGTTTATCGCGTATTTGCTTATTTTAGTAGCTGTAATTTCGGGCTGAACTGTCTCACAATGAATTCTGTATCCTATGTGAATTTTATACGTAAAAGTAATTGAACAAAATCTATTAAATCGCTTCCTTTGTCATACATTTACAGAAAATGTTGTTCGAAACAGTGAGTCGCCCGAAGAAAGTGTGAAACATGGTAAGCCAGCAGTGGCGTGAAAATGTCGCCACGTAGTGTAGGAAAAATGTATGCGCGCTCTTTTTGAGTTCTAGGATTGAACAAGATGCGAATGCTATGACCGGTAGCATGTAGTGAAAGACTGCGGAATTCGCAATATTAGTAGCGACGAATAACGTGCATGCAGATTCTTAGTAATATCGCACCGTATATAATGGAGCAGTGAGTCGTCCAGAGAAAAGTGTACGTTCATTCCAGTGAAACTTGAGTGTTGCTTCCATGTCCGAATAATGCTGTGCGGTAGAAAATACCGTAGAAGGTTGTTTGAAAATTCAGGTTTGTTGTCACTTGTTACCTATATTTTAAAATAATTAATTTTCGTCACATTTAGTGGTTATGTTATTGCTCTGAAAGAAAAAGGTGTACAGCGTGCGTATTAGGATATGTTGAAGAGTTTCC